CTTGATCTGCTGAGAAATTATGACTAATGCTAATATAATTCTATGGAAAAGCAATCACTGCATAGGGTTTCCTATTCCTGCTCTCAATCATGATATAGGGGCCAAATGCTTGCTCTATTCAGGGAATCTGTCAGCCCTGTATAGTTAATTTGATACCCTCAGTCATGTGCTTGGGTTTTATTGATAATTAGAAGTCCATGTTATGATCAACTGGTATGTGAACATATTGAAAAATCCACACCAAGCAAACAGAAACTACTAACCAGTCTGTGGTCCGTAGAAGACTCAGTGCATATGACTTTGGGGTTTTAAAGTATCTTCAACTATAGTAAGTGATTGCCAGCATAAATTTTGAGCCAAGTGGATGTCTTTATTAAGTAGATTAAATAATAACCAAATACTAGTGAAGTATTTAGAATATATCTATTCAGTGCTAGAATGTTGGGAGTTTCGAAGACATATTAAAAAATCTTGGTTTCTGGTCTCAGGAGTTTATTATCTATTAGATAATAAACATAAGCCTAACACATAGGAATCAACCTCTGTAAATGCTGTATTTGTTGTATTTGTTAAGTAAGAACTATGGGGGCTGGAAGACTTCCTGGAAGAGGTGGAACTTATGTTGGATGTTAAATTATGGGTAGGCCTTATTTTTGAAATTGAGTCTCACTCAGATGCCCTGGGGTTGAGTGCTGTGGTGTCATAGCTCACAGCAACCTTAAATTCTTGGGCTCAAGTGATTCTCTTGCCTCAGCCTCCATAATAGCTGGGACTACAGGTGCCTACCACAGGCCTGGCTATTTTTTTTTTTAGAGATGGGGTCTTGCTCTTGCTCAGGCAGGTAAACTCCTGAGCTCAGGGAGTCCTTCTGCTTTGGCCTCCCAGAGGGCTGGGATTATAGGCGTGAGCCTCCCTGCCCAGCTTATCAGTGATGGTCACCTTTTTTAGCTCATGGCACACTTGAACCTATAGTTAAACTTACCCAGCACACTTAAATTATGTTGATCAAAAAAAAAAAAAAGTAAAAAGTAAAAAAGCATACTTATTTTATACTTCTTTTGAAAATAATTTAATTAATGACCTTTAATGACCACCTAAGATCCTCTCATGCCATACTAGTGTGCTGCAACACACTGGTTGAAATCACTGACTTAGATAATTAAAAGAAACAGGAATGTTCTAGACAGTAGTACATTAAGAGAGTGAGAGAAATGAAGACAAAGTTTCCAGGATTAGAAACAATAAGGAGAAGGACATGGACACAGGGCAGCAAAGAGGCAGGAGGGGTTACTGTGGAGTCAAAGTCATGGTCTTTCTCAGAGCAATGCACTGAGAAATTTCAACAAAGCTTGAAATTTCAGACTCTCAATTTTTCTAGGGCTGATTATCTGCATTTATGTAAGAATATATTTGATAATTGATCCTGAATTTATTGATTGATAAAGTGAGGACTGTAAACCTTCAAAAATTCTACTGCTTTTGCCGTAAGGATATTGAGAAAATCAAAAGTGACAAGATAATGTAGAGTGCTGATGAACTAAAAAGCACTGTTTATAAAATGCTTTAAGTTACTTACATCTTTAGAAGGATAAAAGAAACACAAAACTAAAGTATCTTTGGTTGGTCTATTCACGGCTCTGATCAATGCTATGAAATATAGGGTTAAGGGTAGAAGATCAAATTAAATTTTTACAGTAAAATAGATTTCAATTATCTATACTTTATTTAGAATTTTTCATAGTCAACTAAATGTTGACTACATATGAATATTAACCACATTTTGGTGTATATAGTAAGAATTTTAGGTCAAAAAATATCTGAGAATGTAATAAGGTGAAATTTTGTTTCCTGAAAAAAATGTGTACATATTACATTAGAAATATAAAGCAGTCTAACACAAGAGTTTATTTCCTATATGTTAAATAAAGAAACAAGCAAACAGAAACTACTGACCAGACTGTGGTCCCAGGAAGACTCAGTGCACATGACACTGGGGCTTTACAAATCTTGTATAAATTTGGCGTCAAAGATAAGAATTATCCTTTTTTATTTAATGATCTCTCAACTTGGATGATAGATATTCTCATTTCACAAGAAAATGAGACTATTTTTTTCAGTTCTCCTTGTAATAGTATTTTTGATTTTTTAAGGATTTTCTCATGTATAAAATATACCAGTTGATAGAAACTTTCAATATTTTTCTATTGAGACCTGCACCTTGGGAGTAAAAGTGTGGATATGTTTTAAAGTAATGCCCAATATATCCAGATCTAGTGAAATACTTGAAATTCATTCTTACATCACTCTAATTTGTTCTAATAAATATCCAGAAAAATAAATCTTTCTTCTTCTTTTTGTCTTAATACATCTGCTAGTGTTTAGAAAGATTCACAATACTTTAAAACCTCTCCTCTGTCATGAGTCCATAATTTTATATGTTCACATTTTATAGGACTTTAAATAAATGTTTGAATAAATGACATGAATGAGAACTCTGTTGTTTTTTTATCAAGACAGACATAGTGGTAATTTTCTTCGGTTTTCCTTTTTCTGAAATTCATGTATCTTATTAACACCAGGCAGGTGTTTTCTTCATGTCAAGTTTTGCATGATCAAGCTGTTATCACACTTATTTCAGTGACACTAAATATGGTCTCCTCAATTAAAGATCTGAGACTCCTGGTGCATTCTTTAGGAAAAGTCCAAAAATCTCAGTCACAAAATGTATTAAAACTCTTGTCCATAGTAGACCTGGATGTACATATCACACAAATGGAAAGAAATATTATAAATTAAGCTCATAATTTCAGATACTGCCTGAGACTAATTTAT